ATCTGTGCCCTGTGGCAGAGAAACCCCTCACCAGTGTCCCCTGYGTCATCCGAGCGTGCTCCTACGAGTGGAGCTTCAGCGAGTGGTCAGAGGTACCTGCTCCCTTCACATGCAGCAATCCCACAGCTCTTCCCTTCCCTGAAGGCTTCAGGGCAGAGATTCACCTTCTGCCTTGTCTCTTGGCTTCCCACAGAAATGCTAAACTGTTTCCAGGGATGTTTTCCATCCTTTCTGCTGCCCTGTGTTTARCAGCCGTAGGTTTGCTTCCCACCTTCCTCAGCTGAAGTTTTGGCTGCAGCTTAGGAATGGTTTTGGCATGTTTTCTCTTGGAATGCAGATATTTTGGGATTTTTTTTTGTTTTTTTTTAAGGAAGTGGTTCTGCAATTTAAATATATAGTTTGGAAGATGCTCTGGAAGGTGGGGCATCTTATGGGTGATGGAACGAGAGCACTGACAGGCCACATGGTGGAAAAGCATCAGTGAATTACCCCAAATCATGCTTGAGCCTATCAATGCATTTATTCCCAAATAYCACCTGGAATGCAGGGCTAAAGGCCTGTGGCTTTCTCCCTCTGCAGTGTTCAACCTCCTGTGGCAATGGCATTCAGTCCAGGCAGGATTTCTGCCTCAGCTCTCTGACCCACAAGCCTGTGAACCCGCTCTTCTGCCGGCGCTTCCCCAAGGCCATCGTGGTGCGTGGCTGCTCTGCAGGGCCCTGTCCTGAGCAGGAGGGGACACTGTCCCCWGGGGCWCAGCTGCAGCCAGTGACAGYRGCCACAGCCCTGACAAGAGCTGCAGACAGAGCCCCAGAGCACAGACGCAAGGAGCTGGATGTTCCTCTGTCTGCTGGACCCCAGGAGCCGACAGAGCCCGCTGCAGGTGAGGAGGGCACTGCCAAAAGGTGCCAACTGGGCTGGGGGGATCCTGCTGCCACACAGGGACAGGAGTGTGGGAGGGAATGCACCTGGTTGGGAGGAGAAATCTGCTGTTCCAGTGTGTCCATTTTACCTGAGCTAGGAACAACGACTCGCTTCCCAAAACCCTTCTGGCTTGGGGGTCTGTGGGACAGCAGCTCAAAGCTTCAGGRAGTGTTTGGGCAATAYTCTCAGGCACATGGTGGGATTCCTGGAGCASAACTGTGCAGGGCCAGGAGYTGAACTCCATGATCYTTGTGGRTCCCTTCCAACTCAGGAYATTCTGTGCTTCTGGGATTYTGGAAATCTGTGASYCCTCCTGTGCTTTCCCCAGATGTGACCTTGTCTGTTCATTGTGCCACGAAGCAATGGGGTTTGTTTTCCTGTAGCTCCTCCTGACTGTGTTTCTCACTTGTCTCTGCTGCCCAGGTGTGTGTGGAAACCTCTTTCTCAATTCCTCTGGGATCATCAACATGACAGGGGTGGAGAGCAGGGACTGCACGGTGGCCATCGGGCGTCCCCTGCACGAGGAGATCTCCGTGACCATCCTGGAGAGCTCCCTCAACTGCAGTGCAGGTACTGCCCAGGGATTTGGGATCCAGCCTGGTCCTTTGCCACCTCTTCTGGTGCCCTGCAAGCTCCTGGCTGCCTCAGAGCCTGTGTCATCTCTGATTTTTTTTTTTTTTTACTGGGTTTTTCTGTTCTACCACATTGTTGCCAGGTGGATCAAAATGAAGATGTTGCTTATCTTCCCCTCACACAACGGCTTCTTACCTGTTTTGCTGGTAGATGTGAGATGAAAGAAGTTTATGGGGTTTAAGAAGCTGCTTGTTTTGGCCTGTTACAAACCCTAACATACCCTCTGGCTGGAATCAGCATGGTTAGATTGGTTATCTGGGCTGTTCTCAGGGCAGATTTTGATAAKATAGAAACAAGACACAGAAATAACTCGATTCCAGGCCTGTGTGAGACAGACTGTGGCTTTTAATTCMAGTGAAAGTGTTTCTAGGCCCTGTGCTCATCCGTTCCAGGTGAGGTCCTGCTGTTTTCGGGGCGAATGATGTGGCGGACAGGCTGCAGGAAGCTCCCTCTGTCCCTGATAAATTCCAGAACCAACACACTGATTGTGAAACAGCGAGTTGTGCTGCCAGGAAACGGGGTCATTCTGCAGTACAACAGCAGAACTGCAACGAAAAAATATTACCAAGGTACTGCACTGGAAACTTTGCTGCTGCTTTAGTTTAAGGGTTCCATGGATGGTGGTTGCCTATGGAAATCTGTGGAAACCTTGCTTCATTTTTAGCAACCAACAAGCCCCTTCTTGAGGAGTGTTGGAGTCAGTATTAATTGTGGACTTACCGAAGGCAAACCCCCTGCAGGTGTTTGGGGGTTCCCAGATTGAAATCCTTAGAGAAAMTGTTCTGCCTGAGTTTAATTTAAATTATTCCGTTTCTTGGAGATGCTGCACACTTCTCTGAACCATTTTCTCTTCTCCCTTTGCCCTGTCAGACTGTGACCAGCAGCTGTTTGGCCCCCAGGGTGCAATAGTGAACCCTGTGCAGCTGCCTGATGGGAGGCAGGAGGTTGTGTGCCGCACCTTCATCACGGTGGCTCCGCGGCAGCGCATCGCGATCCGTGCCCTGAACGCTGACCTGGGCCCTGGGGACAACCACACACACTTCAACTACATCCTGGTGAGGGGCCAGGAGCCTCAGTGGGGTCATTTGGGTGGGAACAAACCCGTCCCCATTAGRGCTTCCCACCCTGATGCACAGTTCAGTCACAAATCAGGGACTCTGATCTCTGTTGTGTAAATGCAGATGGGAATGAGAACTGATATCTCCCCCTAATTTTGGGGGGTAGCTTTTCCCTGAGTGACCAGTTTGGAAGTCTCCAGTATTTTTCAGGTGTTTATTTCATTTGTGGCCTGCTGAGGTAAAATGGTTTGTTCCTTTTTCCTGCAGGTCCGAGATGTCAGCACCATGAGGACGGTGGTGTTCCATGGCAAGCAGCAATTCCTTTGGCAGTCAACAGGAAGCCAAGCTGAGATCGAATTCCATGAAAATGTGAAGGACCACAGAACCCATTTCTGGGCTGAATATCAAGCTATTGAGCCCAAATAAAGGGCCAGAGGCACGGCACTGAGAAAAGCCCAGTTAGCCACTGCTGCCTGCTCTCTGCTTGAGGGAGCACCTTTAATCTTCTTGCAACTGCTTCTTCATCTTTTGAGTAAGAACAGTATCTGCTGACTCCTTTGGGATCTCTGCACTGATAAAGGTCATGCAAAAGACATGTAACCCCCAAATATTTAGCAAATGTGCCTCACATGGATTTTCTGTCTGATTGGGTGGGTGTTAATGCAGCTTACATGTCTGCAGGTGATGACTTGGGCATTAAAGTGTCAGCGTTCTGCTTCTGTAATGTACTGGGACCTTTTAGGAGAGTCATTTAATTTTTCAGTGTCCCAGTACAAACCTCTGTACACCCCAAGTTATACTTTAGCCATTAAATTCACTGTCTTGCAGCATAAATGCCCCTCAAAGCTGGGGCACAGTGACATTCTGGAATGGTATAAAGGAGAGGTGTGTGTGGAGATGTGTGGGGAGGGCAGTGCCACAGGAGGACAGGTCACTCAAAGCTTGGATGTTTTCAGGAGCTGGGTGAGCTGAGCACTGCTGGGCAAGCCCTGGTGACAGCTGCCTTTAGGTGGGAGGACCAAATGACATCCTGAGGTCCCTCCCCAGCCACCCCTTCCATGGTTCTACCATTGTATATCTGCCAGTGATACCACTGCTTCTTCTCTACGAGGAAATAAAAGAATTCTGTCCCTTAATGCCAGGTCTGACTTACTCAGATAAGAACAGTAACTGTGCTGTTAAACTGCATCTTCATTTGACAGGAATTGTGGTTGAAGCTGCATGGACAAGCTCTAGCAGGAAGAGGGATTTTAGAGCAGTGGCAAATATTCACACGAGCTTCATGTGTTTTTTAGGTTGGGGGTTTTTTTTGGTTTTTTTTTTTTTTTTTTTTTTTAAATATTTTGAACATTGGACTGTGCTTTGGTCCAAAACTGTCATCCTCCTCAAAATCACAATATACTGCTTCAGGGGTCTTTTCTGCACCTGGAGCCTGGCTGGACACATCTGCACTTGCTCTTCATGCTGGATGCAATAAATGGTTCTGCCTGGGCAGTTTTAACCCTGCTTCTGCTTTCTCTCAGTTGGATTCTCTGACATCCTTTCACAACCACAAATATTCCCCTTAATTAATGGTTGTTTTTTTGMTGGTTAAACCTGGAGTTTTTTGCTTGCCAGCCTCCAGATTTACGTTCCGTTCCCGCAAGAGCCAGAAAGTCGATTCCTGAAGYGAGATCCTCGAGGAGCTGGACACATCAGCTATCCCACTGCAGTGCGTGGGTGATGCAGGCCCTGGGCCTTCATTTCCTGTCTGACAGGAGATGGTAATGAAAAGACATCCTTTCCTTAATCCTTTTTTTTTGTAACCTTTTAGCAGATGGGATCTGTCTTCCCGCTCTGCTCTGGATCCCAAGTCTCACTGCTGTTYGTTGTTCCAGACTGACGGTGCTGAGCTGGGCTCTGGTTGTGCTCCACGTTCATCTGCACAAAATGCAGCTGTTGGCTTTGTAATTTGGGGGAATTTGGGGTGTTCCCCTGTGCTGTTTATTTGGGACAAACACATTTGTTTGTCCCATTTGTTTGAACACCAGCAGGTTGCCAGCTGGGGTATCTCTGACTCACAAAGTGCTACTTGTGGTCCCATTTTTTAGGGAAAAAAACTGATTCTATCAAGATGAGGGGTGTGCAAACCTCTTATCTGGAGGGAATTTTGTAACAGTGCTCAATTTCCAACAGTGTGAGGATTCTCGTTTCCCTTTCTGGGAAAGCAAACACTGCCTTGCCAGGGTAACAACACCCAGGGCCATCCACATCTGCCATTCCAGCCTCTCACACATCTCAGAGCAAGAACAGTCACAAAACCCGCTCTGAATTTATTCATTATGCAGGAATAAGAAGCAGAGTAACCTGCTTAGCGGGCTAGAAACTGCCTCGGTGAAATACTGAGCGTTCAGGAATGTTTCCGGGGTGCCCRTGCCGGTGAGCACACACGGCAGAGCTCTGCCCACATCCCTTGAACGCAGTGACATCAAAGGCACAGCCCTGCCTGCAGCCGGGGGGGACCCACAATGCAGCTGGGACGGCCGTGCAGCAGCTCCAGGGCCGCTGGCACCGCTCCGCATCATCGGAGCCCCTCCATTGTCAGCGCCGCATGGGGACGCGGGGACAGCTCGGGCTGTAGGGGCTGTCCCCGAGGCGGGGGTGACAGGCGGGGGTGCGGKGACAGCGGAGCCCGGAGCGGGGGGAGATGAGCGCGCAGGATGAGCCCTTCCCGGCGGCGACAGCGGCGACAGCAGCGACAGCCCCCGAGCCCGCGGCCACCGCCCCCGACGAGGGCATGACCTGGTGGTACAGGTGGCTCTGCAGGATYGCCGGGGTCATCGGCGGCGTGTGTGAGTATCCCCTTCCCCCGCGATCCCAAAGGATCGCCCTCCTGTTCTGTGGGGCTCCTGCCGGGCTCCTGCCGCAGTTGGGGTTTTGGGGTGATGGTTTGGAGCCGGCTCTGAGCGCTGGTTTGCGGGTTTTGGGGCTGTGCCTGCAGCGGGGTGGGGCAGCTGCTCACGGGGATGTGCTCTGTGCTCACCCAACCTCCTGCACTCTGCCCTGTCCCAGGTGCCAATCTGCAAATCCCCGAGTTTCTTCTTGGGTCCAGCACTCCCTGGCGTGATGGGAGCAGCAGCTGAGCGCTGGGCAGGGCTGGGGGTAGACAAATAAAATGATTTTACCATCACCACCAGGCTCAGGGGGTCAGCTCAGTGCTGGAAGAGCAGCCACGGGGTCAGCTCAGTGCTGGCAGAGCAGCCACCGGGTTTGGTTCACCCTATTTCATTTTTGGGTGTTTTTATGTTCATTCAACTTACTTTTTTCCCCCTCATCCTGACTGTCAGAGCGTGTTTCCCGTTACTCCTGTTGCTGGTTGCAGAAGGCCTGCCTTCAGGTTGTGTTGAAGGTGAAGAATGGTTTTGGTTTTCTGCATGTTTTTAAGGGGGCTGGTAGGACACAGAGAACGGAGCTGCAGACGCACAGAGAGTTGGCTGAGCTCGGAATTACCTGCTGCTGAAAAAAATTTTCCCAGGGAAAGAGTCTGTGCAACTTTGCCAGAAATCAGCCTGTCCTGGAGTGCTGTTTTGCTACATTCTGTGGGGAGATTAATAGCTCTTAAAAGCAGGAGGGACTGTTATGACCGCTTAGTCTGATCTCCTGCAGAGCACAGGATGGAGAATTTCTTCTGCTTCAGGTCCACGACTTCAAGTTAAACAAGAGGGTTTTTCAGCCAGCACAGTCAGCCCTGATTTATTCCATCAGCTGGGGCGTTTTGTCTGATCCCCCTCTCTCCCTGTCCCTTCCCATGCCTGCCTTTTGCCTTGAGACTGGGCGTTTTTGGAGCTGACATTTGCACTCTGCGGTATCACCAGACTCCTCACAGCCTTTTTTTGTAAAACACGTGCTGTGTTTTACAAATTTCACGTCCCAGCTGCTAAAATTGGGGAGGTGTGACAGGATTTGCTGGGACTGCCCTTGCAGGACAAACCCCTCCCGGTCTCTCCGTGCCCTGCCGGAGGCCCCTGCGCTCCTGGCCCGGCCGGTGGCCAGCASAACCAGCTGGGAATTGTCTGTGGAGCAGCTCCCAGGTGGGGTTTAGGCAGAGCAGAGCCTTTCCCACGAGTTGTGGCTGCAGCAGGAGCCTCTCCCGTGCTTTCATCCCGCACAGAGCTCAGGGTGACGTTGGAGAGSTGCTGGGTCACACTGGTGGCACTGCCACTCGTGCTGGAGCAGCCTGTGAGGTTCTTTTTATTTTCTTTCCCCTCTTTCTTCGTGTTTCAAAGCAGCTGAATTACGCTTGGATTATTTTCCCAAATTTTTTCATGGCTCTGTGAACTCGTGGCTTTTTTTTTACACTGGGTCACACTGGTGGCACTGCCACTCGTGCTGGAGCAGCCTGTGAGTTTCTTTTTATTTTCTCTCCCCTCTTTCTTCGTGTTTCAAAGCAGCTGAATTACACTTGGATTATTTTCCCAAATTTTTTCATGGCTCTGTGAACTCGTGGCTTTTTTTTTTATACTGGGTCACACTGGTGGCACTGCCACTCGTGCTCGTGAGTGGCTTCAAAGCACAAGTTTCTTTTTTTTTTTTCTCCCCTCTGTCTTCGTGTTTCAAAGCAGCTGAATTACACTTGGATTATTTTCCCAACCTTTTGTTCACAGCTCTGCGAACTCGTGGCTTGTTTTTACAGGAAAGACAAGAGTTTTATGTATTTGGGTGAGTCTGGGAGAAGCTTTTGGAAGAAGAGCCAGGTTCTTAACAGGGTTTGCCAAAGATCTTGGGGAGTGACAGCTTGCTCTGGAGCCCTGACTGTCTCTTTATCAGAGAATGAGGCACAAACTCCCTTTTTGAGCAGGGAAAAGGGGGATTGTGGAAAGAGACAATTGGTGGCACCAAGAATTTTATTCAAAATGTTGCTTGTTCAGGATAACCTTGTTGAAGGTGGATGGTTTGGAGAAGAGGTGRTGAATAAACCAGCGAGGCTGGAGTTTGCTGCTGTTCTCAGAGCTCGCTGCGAAAGAACAGAGCTAATTTATAATGATTTTGGTGCTGCCACAGGGCTGGATTATTTCGTGCAGGAGGAAAAATTCCCTCGGAAAGGAAGAGAAAGCTTTGTTAGCGGAGGTGAGAGCAGCAGACAACGTTTGCCACATGCAACACCTGCAGCCACGGCTTGCTTCAGCCAGAAAAATCCGAGGGCTGGAGCAAGAACCAGACAGAAAAGGTTCAGGATCCGTTTCTGGCTCTCGCACACGCTGGCTTGGTGACCTTGGCCAAGTCCCTTCTCTCCCTTCTGTTCCTGTTTGTAATGGGACGAGGAGAGTCTGTGGCTTTTGTAAAATGCTCTAAGAGCAAAAATAGGCTTGTGTGGAGGACAGTGACCAGCTGCTGGAAATGAATAGAGCCTTTGTAGGGAAGGGTGTCCTTCCCCCCTCATTTGAGCTCCCAGTTATTTGTGCTTCCTCAGGGATTCGAGGTGGGACAGCAGTTAAACAAATGGCAGAACTGTCTGTCTCCCACTGCTTAYGTGCCCCTGAGCATTATCTGCATTTTAACCCTGTTGTGAGGCTGCTGTTCCAAACCAGAATCTTTCAGAAAGAAAACTCTGGCTCGGCAGCTCCATTCCCTTCTGGCTCCTGAGGCAGGAGCTGATCCCATCCTGGTGGGACGAGGATGTGCCAGGCTGTGGGATGAGCAGCCCTGCACAGGAGACCCGAGCTCACCGAGTTCTGTGTCCCTGGGGCTCTTGGCAGCAGCTCTGGGGCATTGCTCCCGTGATCCCAAACCTTTGACTCCTTTCCTGCTGCTCCTGCTGACGTGGGGCTCGCTCAGCTCTGCTTCCTGGGTCACTGATCTGCTGCAGGGACACGGAGCTGCAGGGCTGTTTTGGAGTGTTTGAGAAAAAAAAACAAAACATACCAGAACCTAGGCAAAACAACCCCTGATTGGTTTGATTAGGAAAAAACTCGCTTGGAAAAGAACGTTCTGCTTCCCTTGGTTTGTTGTGAGGTGGAGACCTGCTGGGARCTGCCCTGATCTCTGTGCTCTGCCAGGCTGCTCAGCAAGGGAGGGTTCTGCCCCAACCCTGGTTGTGTTTTGGGGATRGTTGGGAGTTTTTGCTGCTCTGCTAACTATGAAGTGCCAAAGTGCCAGAAAATCACTCAGCATTATTGTCAGGAGCGTCCTTTCCTGGCAGAGGGCAGCGGCCATGAGCCTGAAGTGCTCATCATCCATCAGCATCCAGGGGTTTGGTGGTCACAGAGAATTAAAATTGTTGTGCCCTGCTCTCCACGTGCCCACAGCTCCCAGGATCCTGCTTCCCATTGCTTTCCCCTTCCCAGGATCCTGCTTCCCATTGCTTTCCCCTCCCAGGATCCTGCTTCCCATTCCTTTTCCACCTCTAGGATCCTGCTTCCCATTGCCTTTCCACCTCCAGGATCCTGCTTCCCATTGCTCTTTTAGCTCCCAGGATCCTGCTTCCCATTGCTTTCCCCCTCCCAGGATCCTGCTTTTCTCATTACAGCTGTTTTCATGTGTGACCATGAGCAGATCATGCCACCCCAGTGCCTCAGTTTCCCCTGCAGAGTGGGGACACTGACACCAGTCCCTGTGGGGTGGGAGGGTGAGAATTGCCCTTGGAGCACAGATATCCACACATCCTCTGGCCTATCCCCTCTGCTTGCTGATCTTGTTCTTGCAGGATTCTCCAAAAGATTTTGGGTCCTGTGGAATTAGTTCTAGGAAGTGTTAAAAAGTAAGTTTTTTTGATTTTTTCTAAGACCAGGAGGTCATTTGCTTGTAGGATGACCGTAGCTCCATCCTGTCATTGCCTGCAATTCTCCTTCCCAGCCTGGTAAACAAGGRTAACTATTTTTAAAGGAACTTTGAGGATTCAGCAGTGACTGCTCAAAAGAAACCCTCRCAAGGTGTGTGCCAGGCTTTTGAAGGTCAGGGCTGCAGCTCTTCCCAGGGCTGCCCTTAGCAGAAACCCAAAATCCCCCATCCAGGGCTGCTCTCCTCCTCAGAGAGGGACTCTGCTGCTCTCCATCATCCCCAAGGCAGCCTTTGAGGGCTGTGGCATTAATTTTAGCTGGGRTTTTGCAGTGTGATGGTGTTTACCGTGTTCCTGCCCTCCCACCTGGGCTCGAGTTCCCAGGCACAGGGAAGGGGCCGTATCAGGTGCCAGGAACACTCTGCAACTTTAATGAGGCAGGAGGGAGCTGGGTGCAGCTCAGCTCTGTCTCTGCTGCCTGGTTCCTCTCCCAGGAGCTCTGGGGTTATTTCAGGCTTTATTCTCTCACTTTTCTATCAGCACAAACCCAAACTTGTCTCTTCTCTACCCAGAATCAGCAGCCAGTGGCAGAATTTGRKTTTTCCTCTGCTGTRTTTATTGTTTCCCATRTGCAAATTGTRTTTTTGGGGATCTTGAGCCTCTGGCACTGCCTGTCCAYCTTGGGGCAGAGCAGGAATTCTGTGCCATGTAAAATCCAGGTGCACATTTTCCTCCACGTGAAAACAAACGCTCTGGTGTTCTACACGAGGGAAATAATTGTTGGAACAGCACCTGGAGCAAAAGGATCCCACCCAGAGGAGCTGGGGGGAAAACATCTCCCCTCTCCAGGCTCTTTTGGGCCATCAGACCCAWCACCCCAGCCTCCTGTGCTGCTCTGCAGTGCTGGCCAAGGGCTGTGGTGGTCACTGGAAGCCTCTTTCYTTGCAGCCTGTGCCTTAGCTGGTCTCTGGAACTGCGTCACCATCAACCCCCTGAACATCGCAGCCGGCGTGTGGATGATGTGAGCAGAGTTTCTTTCCATTCCTGTGCTGGGAGGGAGCCCCTGTTACCCACACCCTGCTGAGAGGGGCAGAGCTGCCCTGCTTGGGTATGGATGGGAGTGAAACATCCCTCAGGCTCTGGGAACTGGCAGATCTTGCTCTGTCRGGCAGGCTGAGATGCTGAGTTTATTCTATTTATATTATTTCTTTATGCCTTTTTGGTAAATACTGAGATAACCTTGTCCAAAATGAGTCTGGGACAGCAGGGCTTGGAAATTGTCAGGAAGGGAGGAGTGCAGTGAGGTGTCTGTGGGGTGTCTGTGGGGTTCCTGTGGGGTGTCTGTGGGGCTGGGGTGATCTCCAGGTGAGATTAACTCTGCTCTGCTCTCTCTGGAGTTTCTGGTGTCTGTGGGATTGGGGGGTGGCTGCCCCTCACTGTGGGTGATGTCCAGGTGGGATTAACCCTGCTCTGCTCTCTCTGGAGCTCTGGGTGTCTATGGGATTGGGGGGTGGCTGCCCCTTGCTGTGGGTGATCTCCTGGTGAGATTAACTTTGCTCTGCCCTTTCTGGAGTTTCTGGTGTCTGTGGGGTTGGGGGCATGGCTGTGGGTGATCTCCAGGTGAGATTAACTCTGCTCTGCTCTCTCTGGAGTTTTTGGTGTCTGTGGAACTGGGGGGAATGGCTGTGGGTGATCTCCTGGTGGGATTAACTCTGCTCTGCTCTCTCTGAAGTTTTTGGTGTCTGTGGGGCTGGGAGCATGGCTGCCCCTCACTGTGGGTGATGTCCAGGTGGGATTAACCCTGCTCTGCTCTCTCTGGAGCTYTKKKTSTSKGTGWSKCTGGGGMATGGCTGCCCCTCACTGTGGGTGATGTCCAGGTGGGATTAACCCTGCTCTGCTCTCTCTGGAGGCTCAACGCCTTCATCCTGATCCTGTGCGAGGCCCCTTTCTGCTGCCAGTTCATCGAGTTCGCCAACGCCGTGTCCGCCCGCGCCGACCGCCTGCGCTCCTGGCAGAAAGCGGCKTTCTACTGCGGGTGAGGATGCTCTGGGGGCTGATCCCGGGCAAATCCCGGGGAATGAACACCCCTGTGCCCCGTGGGGAGCGGGGCTGGGCTCTCATGTTTCCCCTGTCTTGCAGGATGGCCGTGTTCCCCGTCATTCTCAGCCTGACGCTGACCACGCTCTTCGGCAACGCCATCGCCTTCGCCACCGGGGTGCTCTACGGGCTGTCAGCCCTTGGCAAGAAGTAAGAGAGCTCCAGCTGCTTCTGGAGGGCAGGGGAGGGGAGATGGAGATCCAGCCCTGCCCCTCTGCCTCCCAAAGGCTCGGCTTTCCTCTTGCACAAACCCTGCTGGGGTGTAAATGCAGCCAGAGGAAATGTCCCTCAGCTCAGAGCGCCGGGAGGGAATGTCCTGAGGTCTGACAAAGCTCTGAGATTTTGGGAGTCCAGCCCAGGCTGTCCTGAGGGTCCCACACTTCTTTCAGTTTTGGGGCAGTGAGTGGCTTTGGGGGTTGGAAGGGGTGAGCAATTCCAGCTTCACCCCTGGAATCCCTTGGGATGGAGAGCCACCTGCCAGCTGGGGCTGTCCCTGGCCATGGCTGTCACCTCCCCACGGCGCTGTCCCTTCTGCCCACAGGGGAGATGCCATCTCCTACGCCCGCATCCACCAGCAGCAGAAGCAGATGGATGAGGAGAAGCTCACGGGGACCCTGGAGGGACAGGATCTCTGAAGGACACGAGCCTGGGGTCGCCTCTGCTGGACACTGAGATGGTGAAGGCGTGGAAACCCACTGTGCCCTTCCCTCTGTCCACTCCACGATTTCCCTGGACACTGCAGCACCTGGACACCTCAGGGGCTGGGGCAGGCTGTGTCCTCTCCTCACACCAGCAGCCACACCTCAGCACGTCGCTCCCCCTCTCCTCCTCGACCCTCAACCAAATATCTCACTGTGCCCCTCTTTTTTAAATCTATTTTTCCTTYTTGCTGCAGAGGTGCTGGCTCTCTGAGTGCTGCTTTCCCAGCCTGAACAGCCTTTTTTTTTGGGGAGCACCCTTTGGGAGTGGCCCTTCCCAGGTACAACACCCAACCCTGGGTTTGTAAAACCCCCTGGTGCTTCAGCTCGGTCTTCTCCTGCTGTTTTAATTCTGGGACTGGGGGCATCACTGCACAGGAAAGGATTTCCAGAAAAAAAAAAACCCATAAAGATGAAATCCATCTGTGCAGGGAGCTGCCAGAGCTGCTGGGCACATCCTGGGACTGACACAGCACAGCCCCTGCTTCCTCTGGATACAGCTGCAGGCATTATTGCCATTTACTTGAATTATGAAAATTAATTACTTTGTCTTAATAGGGGCACTTTCCTTAAGCTTCACTCTTTTACTGGGGCAGAAGGGGAGCAAGGTTTGCTGTACCTCAGCTGAAAAGGGTGYTGTCTGTTGAGCCAAGAGGGATTTTTTGCTGGTGTGAGGGTCGCTGATGTGCAAGAGCATTTCTCTTTCATGAGCCTGGGACTCTGCTCTGTTACCTCCTTGAATCCCTCTGTGAAGGGACCTGCTCTTTGCTTGGGATTGTGGTTTTTTGCATCAATCCTGAGCTAGTTTTGCATGGGAAGGTGGCACATCCTTCCTGTGCAAGCAGARAAGAGGCTGCACCATTTTGGTGTGGACAGCTGGGATGTTTTGCTTTATTATTCCAGGCTCTCTCTGTGGTTTTCACATTGTATTTTCTGTTTGCTTTGTACCATGAAGTACAAAACTGCTCACTGAGTCCAGATCCCCCTCTTCTCATCAAGGTTTCTCCTGGGGGTTTTAATTTATTTGATTTTTATATGGTTGCTTTTTGTTCTGATTAGGWAAAAGGGGAATAATTTATTTCTGGTTATTTAATGGGACTAATTTTCTCTGGATATAGGAGAAAGGAGTGCTCTATTCGTTGTCCTTCATGGGGCTGCCTCATTTCAGGAGMTCTCTGAACCCAGGGACAGCCCTGGCTGCTGCAAAATCCCATTTCAGCCTTCAGAGTGCTTCTCAGACTCTTCAAAAAGTGTGCTGTCCTTTGACCCTTTGTCTTGTTCTGGCCACCAGCTTGACAAAGTGGCGTTTTCCCCCTTTTCTGGGTGAGAGAAGGGAGGGAATTTGGGTTTTAATGGCACYATTTTTGTGCTCAGTCCCCTCTGCTCTGGGATTGCTCCGACCCCCTTGGCTGGGATGCAGAACAGGCACCACCAGCCTGTGTTTTTTCCCTAAAAGCAGCTTTTTTCCATAAAAGCTGTGCTGTTTTAGAGCTCCCAGCTCTCTGGTGCTGAATGCAATGCATGACCCGTCGGAGCACAGCACAGAGAAGGATGTTGCAGGGGGAAATTGGGATATTCCAGTGAGGAAAACCTCTGGGTGGTGCAGGGGCAGGGTCCTGCCTCAGGCAGGGACAGTGCTCTGATTCCAGGGGTTTTGGGGGGTTCTGTGATGTTTTTAGGGCAATGTTGCAGCTGATGCATGTTGGTGTCTCTGTAGTGACAGCTTTGCTCCGTGAATAGTTCTGCTGTAGCTTTAGGGACAGGAGGCCAAAGGAAAATAAAAAACCAGCAAAGCCCTGAGGGGCTGAGCCCTGCAGGGAGCTCTGAGGAAGCACAGAGCTGCTGAACCCTCGCTGGCTCCATCCTGCCGTGGTCTGGGGTGGGTGGCTGCTGCTCCAGGTCACCCTCAGGCTCCTTGCCATGGCCAGGGACACTCTGCTGCCTCAGCACCGGGGCAGAAATCCCTCAGGTGGCAGCAGGGCTGTCACCCTGTGTCGTGTGCCAGCAGAGGCTGACCCTGGGGCTGTGACACGGTGACAATCTGCATTATTCTGGCACTGGGAGTGGGTGGCAGAGCTGAGAAGGGGCTGCAGGAACCCTCTGGAAGGGCTGAGCTGGAGCCTTTGGCCACAATGCTTGAAGTGTCTGTTCTGCCAGCATGGAGGTGTCCCAGTTCCGTGCTCAGGTGCCTGTCTGGAGTGGCAACCCTCGAGAATTTGGGCTGTCTGATACAGCTGGAGCCAAGCCAAACACTGCAGGCAGGCTTGGTGACAGCACATGTGGCTGTGACAGCTGTAGGGACAGTCAGTGGATGGTGTCACCTCCCCTAGGCCTGTCTGGCAGGGACAGGAAGGATTTTAGAGTAGCAGTAGTTAAATGGCAGTGCATGGTGGGTTTTAGTTGTGTTTAGAGGCACCCTCGGGCTGCCTGGAGCTGTGCAAGGACAAATAAAGTTCAAACCCTGCCCTGGRGGTTGCACAGGCTCAGCCCAGCCCCTGCTGAGGGCATCCACAGGTTCTGATCCACAGGGAGAGGTTCTGCTTGGAAAGGAGGTGATGAGAGAGGAGCAGTGAGAGAGCCCAGGGCGGGCAATGCTTTGAGTGCAGTGAGTTGGCACCGAGGGTGGCAGAGCCTCAGCACAGCAGTGGCCTGTCACAAWTGTCACCAGGGCAGCATTCATGCCCTGTGCCACCCTGCCACACCCCTGCCACCCACGTGTGCCAGCTCTGTGTCCCTGGGGCGTGAGGAGCAGGGCAGAGCTCGCTGCTTTTGTAACCCCCTCTGTGTGTGCAGTGAATAAAAACACCGTTCTACCTCTGGAAAGAGCCACTGTGATTTCTCAGACTCCAGACCTTTTGAGAGATGAGCAAAAGCCCTGGGACTTTCTGTGCTGAGGAAAGGAGGTGGCTCAGAAAAAGCCTCTCCAGTGAGGTTCTTGCAGGATCTGCAGGTCCAGCCTCATTTCTTAGTGGGGCATTTCCTCCTTAGGCTGAGCTTTGGGAAGCTCAATTCATCTTTGTCAATTTTTTCCTCAGGAAAATTTTTTTTTCTCCCCTGTCTTCAGGGAAGGGTTTTGCTGAAGTGAAGATATCGAGACCTGGTCCGTAGCCATGTGAGAAAGAGAATGCTCGAGCACAGGGCTGCCAGAAATCCWGATTTTCGGGAGGTCAGTGGAAACCAGAGGCTCTGGAGACCTCTCCTAGTCAGGCCATGCTTAGAAACAGTTGTGTTCCAGCCAGGGCTGAACATCTTTCTGGAAAAGGGTCTCAGCAGCAAGGGGTAGGTCTAATACTGAATGTTTTCTGTGGTTTTTTTTTTATTTTGGCCCATCACTTCTCCTCTGTCCTGGGCTGTTTTAGATTAAAGCTGTGATAAAGCACACCTTCTCTTCGGTGATTTCTCATCTCCTGCTGCAGGAGATCGAAATGGCAGCTTGGCATGTGTGAAGGGCTGGATCCAACACGCTGTTTTACCCTCCTGCCTGGTCCAAAATGCTTTTTTATCCCCCTGCTTCCTTGTGATGGCAGAAATGGGGGGAAGCAGCATTTCCAGGTGCATTTCAGGAGCTCGGATAAATGCCTGGGCACTTCATCTGTGRTTCTGCCCTTTGGGGAGGGGTCAGGTTGGACTCAGCCAGGCCATTTGTTCCTCACAGCCATAACCACCTCCTGCAGCCGTGTTTTACCTCGGGTTAGCTCTAAAAAAAAAAGCGATTTTAAAAAATTCCTAATTCTGCAGGGCACACAATGAAGGSTAAGACTGATTTGCTACGAACTATGCAGTTGAAATCTCAAGGTGATGGAGGTGGAGGCACTTCCACCTCCCTTTTTGTGGGTGGGTCAAGCCCTGCTGTGGGCAGGACCCATCCCAGCACAAAGTGTTGTCAGTCCTCACTGAATCACTTGCACTACAGCTGAATGTTTGTCTGGTCCCGTCCTTTTGTCCTCTGTGAACTGTATTTGGTCTTGTTCTTCAGGCTTCTAGTGTAATGTGTGTTTTTAGAGCAATAAAACGTGGCAGCTTTTTATACAAAAGGTCTGGCTCTGCCTCTTTCATGGTTTTGGGGTGGCTGAGACCCCTCTGGGGAGCTGCAGGCTGCTGTGGTCTCTTTTATCACAGCCCTGCTCTGCAAATCAAGGCAATACCTTGCAGTTGGAGGCTAAACTCATTTATTATTCCAGCTACATGATGAACRTTTTCCAGAATGGCTCTGGCTATAAACTCTGCCCCAGCCAAGCCCTCGGGCTGCTCTGTGAAGGACATCCACGGTTTCCTCTCCTCAGCCACACCTTTGTTTTTCCAGGGCACCTTTCTGTCCAGCCTGGCTTTGTTTTCCTGCTCCCACCCCGTGGGCTGCCAGCTTGTGCAGAGAGCAGCAGGCAGTGTTGGGTGACAAGAAAAGAAGGGAAAGTTCCTCTGGAAACTTCTATAKCCGGAGCGAGCCCATCATCGCTGCCCTTCCTCTGTGGCCTCTTCTTCCAGCAGCTCTGTTTGCTCTGCCCTCGAGCCTCTTGGGGACAGCCCCTACCTCATGAAGGACCTCCGGCCAGTCCTGAAAAAGGCCTCGATCTGCTCCAGGGACCTGCCTTTGGTTTCAGGGACACAGCAGCCCGTGAAGAGGATGTTCCCGGCGCTGATGACGGCGAAGAACAGGAAGGGCACCTCGAGGCCGAAGGTGTTCTGGAAATGGGGTGGRAAGGAGATGTGAGCTGGTGCTGAGGGGGATGGGGAGGGGATSTACCCTGGGCTGTACCCACCACGACTGGGAGGAAGAACTGCGTCAGGGTGAAGGCTGTGAGCCAGCTGACCACCACACAGAGCCCCGAGGCCACGCCACGAGCCTGCAGGGGGAGGATCTCGGACATGAGCAGCCAAGTGATGGGGCCCCAGCCCAYGGCGTACCCTGCGGGGGGACAGAACGAAAAAGCATAACGAAAAGCAGCATACAGTGGAAGCACCTTACACCAAGTATTCCCACGAGAATTTTTGTTTGCAAACACTCTAATTTGCTCTATCTCGCTTGCCTGCAAGCGCTCACGCGTGGGGAACAAGGGGAAAGGCTCTTTCCATAATTGTTGCTTTCAGTGCGAGGAAACGCTTCTGCACGCTTTGGATAGCGAAAGGCAGCATACAGTGGAAGCATCTTACACCAAGTATTCCCACGAGAGTTCTTGTTTGCAAACAGCTTTGCTCTGTGAATAGTTCTGCTGTAGCTTTAGGGACAGGAGGCCAAAGGGGAAAAAAAAAACCAACAAAGCCCTGAGGGGCTGAGCCCTGCAGGGAGCTCTGAGGAACCACAGAGCTGCTGAACATTCACTGGCTCCATCCTGCTGTGGTCTGGGGTGGGTGGCTGCTGCTCCACGTCACCCACGTCAAATTCTTGTTTGCAAACACTCTAATTTGCTGAGGCTGAGGAGGGCACTGAGCAGTGCAGAAGGGCCCTGTGCAGTCCTGCCCTACACCCCCAGCTGCTGTTATCCCATCACTTCATGTCACCAAAGTGACTTCAGATCCCATCTGTCTTGCTCTTCCAGAGACATCTGCCTTCCATCCACCCCCAAWCCCAATCTCCTTGCTCCACACCCTCCCCAGGCTGGTGCCCCATGCTGGGCTCTCTGCACCTACCCATGATGAAGAACATGGTGGCCAGGAGTGGGATGAGGGTGATGTAGTTTGTTGGCTCAGCAGGGAGGCTGGCAGGGCTCACCAGGGTGGYGTTGGCCACGGTGCCGTTGTGAGGAGCTGGCACCAGGTGGATGTAGAGCCCCATGGTCAGGTTGGAGACCAGCATGACACCGGCTGTGGAGAGAGGGGTGAGGGATCTCCTCCGTGCCAAGGGAAAAAAACCTCCCCACCTCCCTCCCTGAGCCCTGTAGGGCTGAATTTTGCACTCCTGCACGTTTCACTTGTGAAAATCCTTCAGTGAGAGCTTCCCTTGGGAAGAGAAATAGGGAAGTGAAGGGAGAGCCGTACCTGATACAAAAAGGAGAATYTTCCTGCCTGCTTTATCCATCGACACGGCAGCGATGGCCACCGACGACAGACGTACCAGACCAACCAGAGCCGCGTCGTACTCTGGTTTCTGCAAAAAAAAACCCCAAAACGTGGGGAAGCTGAGCTGGGGGAAGGAGCAGGTTCCTCTCTGGCTGATGCCTTGGCCAGCGCTGTTCTCCCAGTAAGGGGCTGGAGAGGATGAGCCTGAAGCTCAGAGCATTTAACAAAGCATTTAACACAGCATTTAACAAAGGGATTTGTGTCTGCAGGGAACCGGGAGCGTAGGGCAGCCCTCCCTGCAGCCCTGGCAGGGTCTGGAGCACAGGGCTCACCAGGATGACGGCCGTTTTCTTGAATATGGACTGCAGGTAGACGAGGATGCAGGTGACCCCCGAGAGCTGCTGCAGGAACCTCATTGCCCCCGCGATCAGGATGGGCTTGTAAAGGAAAGGGTCCTTGAGCTCAGCGCAGGAAACCCGGCGGCTCTGGAGGGGGAAAAAAAAGGCAGAAATATGAAATGATAAACCTGTGGGGCCCGTCTGGCAGCCAGAGGATGGATTTTACGCTTTTCATGTCGCATCTCCCCGTGCTGAGATTCCTCACCTGCTTCCTCACGCTGTCCTTGATCTGCTCGTATTCCCGGGTGTAATCGGTGTCCTGGCCCCGCAGCCAGCACAGGGAGCCCAGAGCCTCCTCCTCCTTGCCCCGGGAGAGCAGGAACCGCGGCGAGTTGGGCATGAAGCAGAGCAGGAGCAGCATGGCCAGCACCGGCACCTCCCCGGCCACGGCCAGCCAGCGCCAGTCCAGGACCAGCCCTGCCACAGCAGCAAAATTGGGGGAAAAACACTCAGGAATGGTGTCCTGGCCTTGCCTCCACCTGGGCACCCCCGTGATTTAATTTAGTCAACCCAGAAGGAACAGGAGTCATAATAAATATAAAGGTTTGGAATGTATTTTCTGCTGTTAATTTTCAGCAGTAGGATGGGGGGAAATTGCAGCAAATCTGAGAGCATCCTGCTGGGTGGGAATGCACGGGAATGTCACCAT